CCCCCCCCCCCCCCCCCGATCTGAAATATAAGCACGTAAATCATTTTTCCTGCAGGCACTAGGATCAGCCGCAGAAACTGTTGGCGTCCTGTCAATCAAATCGCCAGCCAATAAGAAGCTCTTGATTGCATCGTTAGTTATTTTTGTGGTCTTTTTAATTTCTGGTGTTTCCTGGGAATACGTGTACCGACGAGATCACTTTAACCTCTTCAAAACTGCGTCAAGTGAGTTGACTTTTATTAATCCTAAATAATGGTACTATAAATGCTTTTCGAAGTCACCGTGTTTAACAATTCAGCACCTCCTCCACCCACCTCCCTCCACTAGCCCAACAGCGTCAAGTTTTTAAAGAACCTTGTAACACCTCTCTATTAAGTCTCATCTCGGTCATTTTACCTCACTGAAGAAAATAAGGGACTAGTCTGAGACAAGTACTGCAAAGTAACAAGGATAATATTTCTCTTGTGTCCGCGGCCAGTCTACTTCACAATTTGTGAATGCGTTATGCTTAAGATTAAGGTTTTAGATATCGTCAACAAACTCGTTCAGCACTAACGCACCCGTTGTTCCTTTAAATGGGGCACCGAGGGACCAGCTGCATAACGTAACGTCAAACGGAATAACTGACATCTTGGGTCAAAGTAAAGAGTTTGACCGATCTGGCCCGGGTTGCTCGAAACATGGTTAGTGCTAACCAGCGTTAAATACCATGGAAATCTATACATTTTGATACCTCTTAACCAACGGTTAGCGCTAACCAGGCTTCGAGCAACCTGCCCCCGAAACTCTACGTCAGCGCTAACGTCGGACGTTAAGATCTAACTATTTAGATCTAGCTGGCTCCAGCACCTCTAAATTTCTCATGAAACTCAAGGTCTCTACGTAATGATAACCAACCTGAAAAGGTCTCGATTGCGGGAGTGTTCAACGGATTCTCCCCATTAGGAGCGCAAGAAATGTACGAAAATAATAAAGAGATGCTGGGTAGTTACCAGTCCATTTACGCGGGAAAACCGGAAATTCCCGATGGAAAATCAAACGGTTCGAGCAAATCTGTTTGGGAAGCTTCAGAAAGTATAGGCTGTGATTTAAGGCGGTGCAATTTTTGTACTCTTTTTAGTCTTTTCAGCTGATTTATGGGACAGTTCTCCCACCTGGTCAAAATTTGTAGTTTTATTTTTAATCACAAGATTTCCACCCAGGTGGTTTGCGTAAATCGAAAGCAACCGGTGTCTCTGACTAAGATATAATCTTGACAGGTGACAAGCACACCAGTGGCATACCACTGACCCAACAGCTAACTGACGTTCAAGAAGCGCTTAAAAACCTTCAAGCGCAAGTGCAAAAGATACAAGAGAGCCTGCAGGCAACCAGAGGCATGACTGGTATGATTACCAACGGTCAAAAGGACTTTGACATCTCCATGGAGTCCGAACTGTCAACCTTTCAACAAGAAACATAGCATTGTATTTTAGCTATGTAGAATATTGGCCACTTTAATGTTGCATGCAACACTGGGTTGATTTTTTTTTTTTTTTTGGAATTGCACTAGGGAAATGTTTTGGGGGATAGCGCTTCTACTATTGTCTGCGGCTTCGCTGCTCGTGTGTTCGGCCTTCGGCCGAAGATGTGTCGTAGCCCGACACCGAAGCATTTCACTAAACGCGAGAGACAAACCTCTGGTACCCAAAGTAGGCCATCCCACCTTTAAAAGAAAAGAGTCCCATAGGGAAGTTTAACACTAGAGCGATCCCTTCACACAAAACAAAGCTACAATAATTTTGAAAATTGGTCTCACACTCGAAGTGATGTAACTTTTAAGCGGTTTTTACTTGATACATAGTTATCATCACAATTAAACTCCAGATATAAAACACGCTGTGCTTAACGAAATTATAACCTACAAGATACTTATAACAAAAACTGGTTTGATGGCAACAACACACTAGTGGGTATGGGTAAGAGAACTGCCGTTACTTTAGATATTACAGTGTATTAATTATTTTATCCGTAAACATAAAACTTACTAGCCATGTAATTATTGTACGCTTTCAGCTCTAAATTTAGACTGCAAAACAGTCGGTGTTTCTCTCAAACTCAGTACAGAAGTCGGTCTTACGTGTTACGCGCGCGAAGCTCGAGCCTCACACGCCCGTAGGCGTGTGAGGCGAGAGGAAAAAAACCGAATGTTAAGCGTCTCTCCCCAGTCTCGCTCTCTGTTTTCAGCCTCGTTCCAGACCTTATGTTTGACTGTTCGCGCTTACTTGAATACGCAAAAATACGGACTGTTTTGCAGTCTACTCTTAATTTCCATTGTTCAATTTTGTTCTATAACATATTCTATATTTAGATAAAATTATAGTCATACTTTATTTAAGCAATAGACCACACTTTCTATGGGTTTACCGGCGTGATAACCCACGCGGGATGTTGTTGTCTTTCTCTGAGATTTGGCATCGTCGTGAAATGTAAACTGCTTTCCAGCTTTGTATTTTATAACTTTTAAAGCTATGGCATTAGCGAATTGTGACGCTCTGTAATAAAATCGTGAAACCAACGTTTTTTAATTTTAAGAAGGGCTGGGTAAGTAACTTGTTCTGTTTTTTAGCCTTTCTAAAATCATTGTTTGCAGATTAATAGCCGGTTTTGTTTACGGCTTTTGTTCCGGATGCCTTTTTCCATAGGTTTACCGGTATAATAAACCATAGGTTTTTGACCAATCAGATCGCGCGTACTATCTCAGTTATTTTATAAAGTTAAATAATTAATGATAACTGTAGCCTGCGAGAAAGCTTTCCATTTATGGTGAGCGAAGCGAGAAGCGAGAGGACGCGCGAGTGAGTGGCGAAGCCGCAAGGGGCACCCCTCATACTCGCGTCTCCTTTCGCGTGCTGCTATCACGTGACTTCTCGCGACCTGACTACCCCAAATGGAGAGCTTGCTCGCAGGCTATGATAACTGTCAGCAACATAGTTGCCATGATTTTATACTTTTCTACTTTATTCTGTAATAGTCTCTGTATTGACTGTGAAACTCCGAAACCCGTGAACACCAGAAATACTTGGGAACGTTATGGTGATGCAAGGAAAAAGCCATTCAGTTGTGAGAAAGTTAAACCGCACGAAGCAACGGTAATTTGTTTGTGGTTTTGTAGCGCGCTCTCGTATCCTGAGATTTGCTCAGTGTGATTGTTATAACACAATACACATTCCTGAATATTCCAGCTGCTCTTGGTTTTCTAAGTTTGACAGTTAGGACACTTATCGTCATCGTCATCGTCATCACCATCATCGCCGTCGCCGTCGCCGTCGTCGTCGCCATCGTCGTCGTCGTCGTCGTCGTCGGCCGCTGAGCAGTCGACCACAAGTTCCTCCAGCTGCTGGGATCTTAACCAAGCAAATAAATTGGCCATTAGCAGTTTATAATGCTGCTCTTAAATCTGAGTTCACATTGCTACTCTAAAATCTGAATTAATCAGAAATATTCTCATTCCACGTGCGGCGCACATAGAGGTACCCAACTGTACCAACATGAAAGATTCACCTACGGACGTATAACATTAAGATCACGATCCAGGTTAAGTTTTGTCTTAAAGAAAACGGAAAATCTACTTATCAAATTTAGAATCCGGATTTAGATTCACTGAAATGACCGCTATGAAGATTAAAACATTTCACAAAGAGAACGCTTATTGTCCGAAGGTACCACGCCCATTGGTCACACGCTACATCACGTGTTAACTTTGTAAATATGCCGCTTCTTTTGCTTCATTCTTCATCTACCATCTGGCTGTTCACGTGGTACCCACGTGGATTGCACGGGTTGATCTGCGCAGCAGCTGTCGAGCCAAGCCAGTAGCGAATCAGCGAAGTGAAAGCGTCCCTCACGATAGTTCCGATACAAAAGTGCACCAAACAGCACAACAACAACCACGATTGGCGCGAAAATGCCCCACGCAGACTTCGTGTTCACGCAGATACACACGCTGAAAACCAAGAGCGCGAGAAGAAGATAACCCGCCAAAAAGAGCTGATACGTTGGAATCTCATGTATTCTGACGCGAAAATTAAAATTCGGTCTGAAAACTGTGCACACTGAGGCCAATTCCTCTTCAGAGGCTCTATCAACTTCTATAGAGTCTTGGGTATCACCGCCGATGAGCGGGATTTGATCACAGTCATTAGCTTCCAGGGCATCTTCATTCAAAGAGCGCAGACTTCCGTATGTTGGTCGTGACGTCATTGCAGCCCTCCTTGGTTGTGGTTTAGGATACCAGATAACCTGTTGAAATAAAGGATAGTCGAGCATAAGGGATACAGTTAAACTATTGTTAAAAGAATTAAGAAAGGAGCACGGTTCTAGTTAAGGTGGCTCGCAGAGATTCCCACCTTTAACAATAAAGCAAATGGCATAAATCACACAAAAACTGAACTGTGCGATATTCACAAAAAAGTCATGCCAACACCATGGCAACAGTATAGCTCTCTAAAGCCATGTTCACTCAAATACATTTTTGAAAAGCTCCTCATCCACACTAACATTTACACATCATTGTTGACTTGACCTTCCACACAGAGCCTAAATGCAACACTGAAGAAGGGTTACACACCCAAAGTGACTGTTTTTTCAAAACATTTATGACACTTTTTGATACTTTGCTGTTATCATCCTATCAGCCATCTTTTGAGATGTTTGTTTTCCAAGGTTAGTCTCAACTGTGTAGTTTTCAATTTACTGCCTAGCTGCCAGGTCATGCTTGGCTAGAGTGGTCTGTCCATACTAACATTTTCAACAGCGTTTTGGAAAACCTTTGTTTTTAGCCTTGTAGTGTGGATACAAGGCCAAAATGAACAAAAATGACTGTGAGTTCCAACAGAAGTGTACTACTAGTACAGACAGGGTCAAATAACCCTTTTACTCTCAGAGTGTGGGGTTGAAATCCTGCATTTTGACAATTCAAATGACACCTCAATGGGACTACTTTCACATAATACTATCTGTTTTTCAGGAATTTACAAAATGAAAATGTTTTTAGTTTTTGTCCCCTTTTTGTGGTAAAGGGGTTAAGACATTGTACAGTAATTAACTTGCCTGAATTCCATTGATATAAGCCAGTGTACTTGAGAAGTATGTCATGACCACATATTGCGATGGTAACAGCAGAAGATAGTTGGACAGAAAATCTGCTGTTTTACCCATAAGTCCCAGGACAACAGAGGGTGTGGCCTGTCCACTTGTTGTACGGAGACGCATGTTCAAAATGACCTGAGTAGTTAACAAAAAGGCAGTTGTAAGATGAGACAGGAATGATCTGAAGCTCTCTTTTATGTCAGTAAATGAAGCTTAAAAGGAATCACAAGAAAGTAAAAGTAGTGAAAGTATTGTAAATTATTTTAGTATCACCTGCAGACAGTTCATTTGCTGATTGACAATATGACTGGTGGAAAACAAGAAAATGACTCTGGGATAAAAGTAACGACTCCCAGGATTATTGTCTCTTCCTCCATACCGAGGGGGTGTGGACTAGACTACCAAGTAAGAAAAAAAAATTATGGAAACTGGGGTGAGCCCACGTTCAAATTCATCATCACTTTCATTTTTTATACACGGTAAAAGGTCAGGCTAATATACAAATATGGTTAAGTACATACATACTTTGAAATCCCAAAGTATTACAAACTATTGAATTAACAGTAATACAGGACTTACAATAATGAATGTTGAAATAAAATTAATTTATTTATTAAATTAAGGCCTGTTTTCTTTGAATGCTGTGTTCAAGCTAGGAGTTATCAGTTTCTGAAAGCTAGTCAAAGATTTTGCTTGTCTTACATCAGATAGCAAATAATTGTTCCACAGACCAGCCCCCCACTGTAGCAGAAGCTATTTCTATACTGTTATTGGTACGTGGCAAGGGAACTGCAAGCTTATTTTCAAAATCTGTAAGTTTGTAGGGATTAAATATATCACTGTGTAGAATAAATTTTGATGACAGGTAATCAGGTGCACAGTAATTCAAAGATTTATACACCATCACAGCCTTATGACTTATCTCCATACATTTTGATAAAGAATTAGATTAGAGAATAGTCCAGTTTCGAAATCATTGCGGAGGAAGAACTTACGACTCATTTATGCAGGGTTAGCCTCGACCCAAGGTAAACATATTCTCAAATCCCAGTCAGAAGAAGACCTGTGTACAACTGTGCTGGTATTTGTGAATATTTTACTTTAGGTCAAGGCTAACCCTGAATAAATGAGTCTTCAGTGCTTCTATTCAGTGACCGCAATAAATGTTTTCAAATGCTCAGGGGGCGGGGTGGATGTTCAAGTTTCAAATTAGGCTCCACAAATCTTATGTGAAGCACTTTTCAGACCTCCGTCTCAATGTAGTCCCGAGAATTACTGGGCCTGGAAAGCTTTTGTTGTTTGCATTCAAGGTCAAGGTTTCAGTAGATTTGTAGATAACATGCTAAATAAAATGGACTGATTTGTTGCCTCAGACCTGCTCTTTTATTGTTTAGATTTTGATTTGAATATTTGATTTAGGATCCAAAACGTTCCACAACTTTCAAGAAATGGGCCCCAGGAAGCAAAATTTGCATTTATCACACCCTGGAAACCCCAAAGATGTTTGAGCACTTCCAAAGTTTTATCCAGCTTTGATTTCGTTAGAATGCAAACAAGGACACAAAGTCGTCATGTGTTAAAAATCAATTTGTCTGGATTTGTGAGTCAGGCGTGAGAAATTGTCCTTGATGTGGGAGATCGATGTCGTTAGTCCACAGGCATTAGACTCATGCATAATGCGTGAGAGTTGGAAGGTATACTTTCTTCGGCTTTCGTTACTTTTAGGGGACCGTAGCTTTATGGAGGCAAACAAGTAAGTTTGCGAGCAAAATGAAAAAATAATGTCATATCAGTTCAACAACAAAGAATGAATGAAGTGCAAATACTGGTAATTCCTGAAAGCATCTTTCAGCCGCAAACCAAGAATGTCACAGTCGGGACATTTCTTTGTAATTTTTGGGATTTTAGGCAATTTACAATAGATTCAGGCGAGAATAAAGCAGAAAATAACTAAAATAGATTCATGTTTTTTTTCTCGTTCTACATTTTACATTTGGCGTATAAATCCATCTTATTGTCGCATAAACTAGTCATTTTGCTCGTGCATTCAGTAAGTTTTTTGCTCTATAAAGCGACAGTCCCCTAAAAGTAACGAAAGCCCTTTCTTCAGTGTGTTCAAAAGGTCACATTGGAAGGTTGTAATAGTGGTTGACTTTGATCCATGTTGTTTATTTCATTTTGTTGTAGTTAGGAACGACAACCAAATCTCTTGGAATGCATTGTTGTTTTTGTGTAATCTGATTGTTCAACTTTGTCTGGGAGGGCCTGGTTACATATACAGTAGTCGAATAATATTAATAGTAAATTATGAGGATATATTAATCATCATTTACCTGCGGAAAACTCTCAATAGACCATAGCACAATTGCGATCCACTGAACATTTTCTTCCGCTCCATCCACGGAAAGTTCCAAAGTTATGATGGCAATCCAAATGACAAAGCAACCTGCCCCATAACATAGCCTAAACTGGATATGATGCTTCGAGTAAAACCAAAACTGAACTAGAATAAGAAACTCTAATACAGGCATGTACACAGCTGATATTTTAAGATACAAAGGCAATGTGATAGAAAAAGCGAAGAAACAGTTTACTATAGAAGCTGTGAAGTTAGCAGTGGCCCATAAAATACTGAGACCTTCCACGGATTGTCGCTTCCAGTTCTTCCATATTTGTGGAGCCAAAACAAGAAACCAAATAGTGGTGCTGATGTAGCCACAGACATTCGCAAAAGCGCAGACACCGTGAGGCCATCCACCACGGCAGTCGGTGTACAGAATGCTGATACGCATTGTATTTTATGAACGGTAAAACGACATTTTTGCACTAAACCCTGAACTGGAGATCCACCATAGGCATAGATAAAACCGGAAGTATCACGTGACTGTCAAACAATCTCTTCCCCAGAGCCTCTCGTTTACGAGAACTTTCCCGCCATTGATTGTGCTTTGCTCTTTCTCATCATCTTCGGGAAGGACTTTGCAAAGACGCAAAAATGTGAGTATTTTACAAATTATTTCATTTATTTCTGCTAAAATGTGAATTCGTTTTCCATGCTCACCATGACAGTAATTACTAGCTAAACAAATAGTAAGTTTTAAGAATAAAATTGCAGACAAAAAGACTGGAAATGATCAGAAAACTGATAAAATTTAGAAGTTGCGGTTTATCGTCGTTTCCATGTAGAGATAAGGCTGCTTTATTTCATGTTGTGTGTGAAAAAATTGATTGATTAATACTAATTTTAGTCTATAGAAATTGTAGTCTATAGTTGAACCGAACTATAATGCTGAGTTTCGTTAAATGGCGTTCTAAATTCAGTGTACCTCAATTCTTAATTAGGTCGCCACGTTCCGAGTTTACACAAAAAGAGACGCTTGTTTTTCTGAAGCATGCTCAGCCTGCTTTCCATTTTTATCGTGTATCGTCAAAAATGAATCTCTAAAGCTAACTTTCGGTATCTTTGACATAAAACAAACATTACCAACATTGTTGAACAGGTTCACTCGTTTGCAACAGTGCCTCAATAGTCATTATGCAAATTATAAAAATGTTGTCTGAATGGCACGAAGAAAGTAATGGCACGTGTGGCTCGTGCCGCTCGTGACTGAGAGAAATGGACATCAGAGATCAGGGCGGATCCGCCCTGTTGGAGATCATTGCAGTTTTGACTCTTTTTGAATACGAGGATACTCGTTACGATTTATCGGCTCTGTAATTTATAGCCTAATGCCAGTGCGACAGATTATTAAACCACCAATTTTTGAAAAGAATATTACGTTGTGTTTCGGAAAGGCCTGCAACGAAACGGTAGTGATTTCTTTCATATCCTTGCAATGAACTTGAGAACAAGGTTTTTTTCTTATACAAATCATTATTGTGTGGTTTGTGACTAATCGAAAAAACTCATCTTAGAACACCGAGGGCTAAAGAGAGTTTTCTTTTTTTCTTTTGAGACAATTATCACTTTTACTGAAGGATATGCTTAATTATCACCACCACTGTTAACCGAAGGGCCTATTACGTCTTTTCAGTATGTTAGATATCCCAAGATAATAAAACCAAACTTTGACTTCAAATATGTGATAACATTTTACGGGAAAGTCGGCAAAATGTAAAGAGCCCAAAAGGTAAAAGAATGAAGACGTAATAAACAAGATAGATGACGATTTTTATACTGCAAAGTGACTATATTTTCAGTTTCATATATTTGAGATCAAGGTCACAGTAGCTATGTATGCAGTTAAAGCAGCTGCAAAAAGAAACCCTGAAAAAATTCATGCTTGGTCGGGCTCCGAACCCATCACCTTAACGATACAGATGCAGTGCGATTATTACAAGCCTATAAAAGCCCCCATCTATAGTGCGATAGTGGCCAACAGGGAGCTGCTCACTTTGTGAGTTCGTAAGCTATACACTAAAAAAACCCTTATACACTATACACTATAAACTATTGAAAAAGCATTTAAAGCATTTCTCGCCCTTTTGTTACTAAAACTAACTCAAGTGCCTATATGGGGGATTCGCTCCGTTACCATTTCTCCTCCATTGTTAATACCTAAGAGTTGTTTGACCTTTAAATCTTTAAAGTATACGAATTGGAAATGGCGATGTTCCAAAGCTTACAAGCAGGGCGGGTCGATGGTGCAATGTTGGATAGATTTAAAGCTTATTATTACTTGGATAAACTGAAAGACGACCGCTTAAGAGTGGCACTACAGATTGATAGTCCCCAGGAGTATAGCGTCGCACTGGTCAACAGAAGCGTCCCACAGCTCACGGCCAAGAATGGCTGCTTAGAAAAATATTTGGTTGGCTCACATAGTCGCTTGCGGAATAGACTATTGAAACATTACGTTCGTCCGGTGAA